GGCATCACACTACCGGATTTCAAACTATACTATAAGGCTACAGTAATCAAAACAGCATGGTACTGGTACCAAAACAGAGATATAGACCAATAGAACAGAACAGAGGCATCAGAGGCAACACAACATAGCTACAACCATACAATCTTTGATAAACCTGACAAAAACAAGCAATGGGGAAAGGATTCCCTGTTCAACAAATGGTGCTGGGAAAACTGGCTAGCCATGTGCAGAAAGCAGAAACTGGACCCCTTCCTGACACCTTACACTAAAATTAACTCCAGATGGATTAAAGACTTAGACATAAGACCTGGCACCATAAAAACCCTAGAAGGAAATCTAGGCAAAACCATCCAGGACATAGGAGTAGGCAAGGACTTCGTGAACAAAACACCAAAAGCATTGGCAACAAAAGCCAAAATAGACAAATGGGACCTAATCAAACTCCACAGCTTCTGCACAGCAAAAGAAACAGTCTCTAGTGTGAATCGGCAACCAACAGAATGGGAAAAAAATTTTGCAGTTTACCCATCTGACAAAGGGCTGATATCCAGAATTTACAAAGAACTCAAACAGATTTACAGGAAAAAAACAACCAAGCCCATTCAAAATTGGGCAAAGGATATGAACAGACACTTTACGAAAGAAGACATATATGAGGCCAACAATCATATGAAAAAATGCTCATCGTCACTGGTCATCAGAGAGATGCAAATCAAAACCACATTGAGATAGCATCTCACGCCAGTTAGAATGGCGATCATTAAAAATATCTGGAGACAACAGATGCTGGAGAGGATGTGGAGAAAAAGGAACACTTTTACACTGTTGGTGGGAGTGTAAATTAGTCCAACGATTGTGGAAGACAGTGTGGCGATTCCTCAAGGCCTTAGAAATAGAAATTCCATTTGACCCAGCAATCCCATTACTGGGTATATATCCAAAGGACTATAAATCGTTCTACTGTAAGGACACATGCACACGAATGTTCATTGCAGCTCTGTTTACAATAGCAAAGACCTGGAATCAACCCAAATGCCCATTGATGATAGACTGGATTGGGAAAATGTGGCACATATACACCATGGAATATTATGCAGCAATCAGAAATGATGAGTTCGTGTCGTTTGTAGGGACATGGATGAATCTGGAGAACATCATTCTCAGCAAACTGACACAAGAACAGAAAATGAAATACCGCATATTCTCACTCATAGGCAGGTGATGAAAAATGAGAACACATGGACACAGGGAGGGGAGTACTGAACACTGGGGTCTATTGGGGGGAAAAGGGGAGGGCCAGTGGGAGGGGGCGGTGGGGAGGGATAGCCTGGGGAGAAATGCCAAATGTGGGTGAAGGGGAGAAAGCAAACAAAACACACTGCCATGTGTGTACCTATGCAACTGTATTGCATGCTCTGCACATGTACCCCAAAACCTAAAATGCAATTAAAAAAAAAACTGCCATTTCCTCATTACCATAGTATAATTGAATCAAGGTGTGAGTCATTGAGTGCTAAACCTCGGTGAACATTTGACAAGGAATAAGATATATGTATAGTCTCAGAGTTTCTTCTCACAAATTAAGTATTTATTCCAAAGGAAATACAGAAATTTTACAGTGGCACAACCTGGCCAACACAACCTTAAACAAGTAATCCAAATAAACATCCAATAAAGGGACAAAGTGACATCAAGTGCCTCCTGATGTGATGCACTTCTTACGGTACATAAAACATTTCTGTGGATTTCTGCCTAAAATGCAGTATTTGAATCTAATTGAGGAAACATCAAATAAATCCAAAGCAAGAGACAGTCTGCAACTACCTTGTACTCTTAAAAATGTTGAGGTTATTTAAAAAAGAGTTAACTGTTATAGATCAAAGGAGAGTGAACAGCTATAATAACTACATGCAACACATGACTCTAGATTGTATCTTGACAAGAAAAAAGAATTTGGCTGGGCATGGTGGTGCACGCATGTAATCCCAGCACTTTGGGAGGCTGAGGCAGGAGGATCACTTGAGCTCAGGGTTTGAGACCAGCCTGGACAACATGGCAAAACCCTGTCTCCACAAAAAATACAAAAATTAGCAAGGCATGATGGTACACACCTGTAGTACTTAGGGGGACTGTACTTAGCAGGGCTGAGGTGAGAGGATAACAAGCCCAGGAGGCTGAGGCTGCAGTGAGTCAAGATCTCGCCACCGCACACCAACCGGTGACAGAGTGAGGCACTGTCTGAAAAAAAAAAGAAAGAAAGAAGGAAAGAAAAGAAAAAAGAATTCTATAAAGGTCATTGTTAGGAAAATTACATGAATTGAATGTGAATTGTAGATTATGTGATATAATTTATCCACATTAAATTTCTTGATTTTGAATAATGGAAATATAAGTAAGAGAATGTCCTTGTTCTAGGGCTGAATAATGGCTCCCAGATGTGTCCATGTCCGAATACCTGGAACCTATGAATATTTCACTTTAAATGGCAAAAGGGACTTTGTAAATGTGATTAAATTATAAGGATCTTGAGGTAGGGGGATTATCTGAGTAGGAACAATGTTATCACAGGCGTCTCTAAGAGGGACACAGTACGGTCAGACAGGGAAGGTGATGACAGAGTCAAGGGAGAAAAGGCGATGTGATTCAGGGCCTTGAGCCAAGGATATCCTCTAGAAGCTGGAAGAGGCAAGAAAACAGATTCTCCCCAGAGCCTCCTGAGGAACTAGCTCTGCTGGCACTTTGGTTTTAGCCCAGTAAGATTCACTTTGGAATTCTGACTCCAAGATCTGTAAGGGAATAAAACAAAAAAGCTGAGTGGGGTAGTGAACGAGGGTGGGGACAGAGGTGGGTGGTGTCTCCTGCCAATCTATGCAGCCCACTTGAACCAATGCACTTGGATAGACAACCTTCTACACTCCTCCTCTTACGCAAACCTGGTCTGATGAGATGACCAGCAGCATTCCATCACCTGGGGACTTGTGGAGATGCAGAATCTCAGGTCCCACCCCACCTCACAGATTTAGAGCCTACATGTTAATAAAATCCCCAAGTGACTTGTAGTTACCGATCTACTTTGCCTGGATCACTGTAGAACTGTCCTTCCCAGAAGGCAGAATCACCAGCTCTGCATTCTCTGGTCATCGGGTGGCTCCCAAAAATGTCACTGCTTGCATGTGGCAAGCCGTATTGGCATACCTACACCTGCTCTAAATTGCCCATTTTCAACAATGATCTGAATGAAATGTGTTGGTCAAACAGTTACTAAGATATGGTGCAGACAGTAGAGCAAGGATACAGCCACAATGTGAGGGCTGGTGGGGAAGAAGTCAAGAGGATGCTTTTTATTTATTTTTTCAAATTTTTGAGACAGAGCCTTGCTCTGTCACCGAGGTTGGTGTGCAGTGGCGCAGTCTTGGCTCACTGTAATCTCTGCCTCCTGGGTTCAAGCGATTCCAAGGAGCTGGAATTACTGTCTTAGCCTCCCAAGGAGCTGGGATTACAGGTGTGTGCTACCACACCCAGCTAATTTTTGTATTTTTAGTAGAGAAGGGGTTTCGCCATGTTGGCCAGGCTTGTCTCGGATTCCTGACCTCAGGTGATCCACTCGCCTCGGCCTACCAAAGTGCTAGGATTACAGGGGTGAGCCTCCGCGCCTGGCCAAAGGGGTGCCTATTAAAGCCCACTCAGACCAACTTAGGGTACACTCACCAGTAGGGGGAGAGGTTATTTTTCTGTGTTTCCCAGAGCTCCCCTGAGAGTGTGCTTACACTGTTCCTGACCTTGCACTCAGTAGGCAAGGTAATAAGGATGGGGTTGTCTTTGTTCACTCTACACCGCTGGTGCTTGGCACACTAGGAGCTCAGTAAATACTTCTTGGCTTCTTCATTAGGGTTCTGACGCCTGTGCTCATGCTTCCCTTTGATTTTTCAGCGTCCACTCTGGCACTTACTATCTCAACTAACGTCTAAGACCTCTCTTGCCTGGCACTGCCCTGCCCATAAGTTGAAACAGAGCACGGGAAAGGTTAGTACATGCACAGACGACTAGGCCAGGGAAGATTGCAAGGGCTTGGACCTGGCGAAGTTTGGACAACATCCCGGAGGTGGGGGGCCCGAGTTGGTTCTGAAAGGAACCCAACAGAGGTCACCAGCAAGAGCAAAGGTACGCCGTTGTGAAACTGCCAGGCTATTAGCAGCTTGCAGTGACGGTCTTCCGGCGACTCTGGAAGGCCCTTCTCCTATTGACTGCCCTTCCTGGCACCTCCTCAAAGCCTCCCCACCCCTTCGTCTCTCCCAGAGCCTGCCGACCAGGGTCCCTTGCTCTTTTCTGCACCCCAACTCCTCCAGGTTTCTGTCTTGCAAATCTCCTCGGCTCACCCACATGCGCGCTGCCGCAAACGCCTTTCCTAGACCCTCGCGCGCACACCCCGCTCCAGCGTCCCCACTTCTCTCTCCTACGCGCCCCCTCCTCCCTGGCCCTGCCTCCTCGAGCAAGCCGCTTCCCTCTGCAGTGCTCCCTTCTTGCATTCCACCTCCTCTCTGCCTGCTGCCCCCTCGTGGGCGCTCTCCCTCCTGCACACCCACTCTTCTCTGCCGCAGGCCACTCTCCTGCACGGCCCCTCCTCTCTGCTGCGCGCCCCCACTCCTGAACACCCGTCCTCTCTGGCCCCCATCCCCTCGCGCGCGCCCCTGCTTCACAACCCCTTCACTCTGCCGCGCGCCCCCCGCACGCCCTGTCCACTCTGCCCCGCGCCCCGACTCCTGCTCGCCCCCTCCTCTCTGCAGCGCGACCCCCCACCCCCAGCCCCCTTCTCTCTGCAGTGCGTTCCCCCTTCTCCGCCCATGCGCGCCCTCAGCTCACCGGTCCGCGCGCCCCTCTCACTTTGCGGCGCCTACCAGGGTTCCTGCGGCACGCGCTCTCGTTGCCCGGCAACGGGACGCGGCTCTCGGGTGGCTAGCAGGCGCGTGCGTCCGGTGCGTGCACCGGGAAGGCACCAACCACTTTTGAGATTTGTTCTCTGGCTTCGCTGGGTCCGGCGGGCAGAGGCGGTTCTGACCGTTGGGACTTGGGCGTCGAGCTGGAGTCACCCGAGGCGGAGAGAGGCAGCTTCGCGCCTGGAGCTCCCGAAAGCGGACGGCTCTCCTCCTCCTGTTCCTGAGTAGGAAGGGCTGCGGCTCCTGAGGGCTGCGGGAGACCCCTTCCACACTCCGGGGTGGGAAAACCCCACTGAGCGCCCCGGGAGGTTCCCAGATACAGTACTGGACTGCATGCCCAGGTAACTGAATTTCAGATAAACGAGCTACTTTTCAGTCCAAATACAGTATCATGCAAAGTTATTCGTTGTTTATCTGAAATTCAGAGTTTCCTGCACGAGCTGGGTTTTGAGTTGAGAAGTCTAACATAGCATCCCTACCCAGGTGCTCCTGCCCAGTCGGCTGGCCGGCTCTCTCCCAGGTGTGGGTAAGGTACCTCGTTACATCTCTGTGACACTTTCTTCAGGCTGGAGGCAGCTGTTTCTTTGGGAAAGAGCTTTCTTATGTTGAGCCAAGATGCCTATTAGTATATCTGAAAAATAACACAGCTTTCAACGAGAGATGGGTATTATCTTCGTTTCACAGACAGGAACCATGCTAAAGGAGTTGACAGGCCTTGCCTGGGTCCCACTGATATGCCCAGAAATCCTAGACAGAGCCTTCCCTGACTTGGCCTGACTGTTAGGCCAGAATTTTTCTCTTTAGGAATAATGGTGCCGTTCCCACTTTCCCACGTTTTATTTTTCCGGAGCAGCAACAGGAGTCTGTTCCCATTTTTATATAACTTCACTTCAAATGACTTTGGGAGGTCTATATAACATTTTGGTCTTTCAAGTCCATCCTACTGAAGAAATACTGTGCAGATACTGTGTTCCAATGTCAGTTGTAATAACTCTTTTCTCTGTGTGGTTAGGACACCAATATCAACCTGATTTGGATTTAGGTTCATTTGTGCCAGTTTTCAGCTTTTTGAGTTTTTATGACTATATTTATGTATATACACATACACATTCCTTTCTCCACCGCTGTTGCTATACAAAAGATGACAGACCAGATACAATTTCTGCACCTCATTTTCTTTATTTTATGTCTTAGAGATCACTCTCTAGTTTCTTCTTTCTCTTGTACATCTGCATAATAACCCATTGTGTTGCTCTTTCTCATTAATCCCCAATTGGATAAACATTTAGGTGGTGCTTCAGTGTGACTGTTGTAAACAATGCTCCAAATAATCATGTGCATATGCCATTTCATGTTTTTTCTTTGAGAGAGGATCCAGGAAGCAAGACTGATGAGTCAAAGAGTGAATGCATATGTGATTTTCTAGATTTTGCCAAATTCTCCTCCATAGAAGTTTTGCCGTTTTGCTCTCCCGTCACTGTGGTATGGCATATGCACATGGTTATGTATACAATTTCAGAGACACTGACATCTTGGGGTCTATCCATGAATAAAGATTGGGGGTTATGGATGAGCCCCAGGATGTCAGTGCCTCTGAAATTTTATGCAAAATGCTGGGTGCATTTGTCTAGGGAAAAGTTTAGACATGGTGGCATTTTATCCCCTGTAATTTGCTCATTCCTATATCAGGGCCTTTCCTCATACCTAGAAGACTCTTGCTTCTCTCCTTTGCCATGTTAATTTTACTTTTTTTTTCTTTCTGGTAATTGTAAGCTTAGCTCAAATGTCACCCTTCAGAGAAGCTTTTTTTGACCTCCCTGACTTGGTGAAACTCTTCGTCCTGTCTGGTCTTTATATTACTTATTTTAACTTCAATTTCATACTTAGCGATTTAAATATGTGGCTAATATTTTTCTTCCCTACTCATCTATAGGCTCCGCGAAGGCAGAGACTGTTTTTGTTTTAGTTTGGGCTGCTGTAGCAAATTACTAAGACTGGGTGGCTTAAAAACATGTGCACATTCTGGAGGCTGGAAAGTTCAAAGTGAAGGCATTGGCATTTCTGGTATATGGTGAGGACCCTCTGCCTGGTTTGCAGGTGGCTGTCTTCTAGTTTTATTCTCAGATGGCAGGCAGCAGAGAGTTAACGCAAGCTCTCTTTTTATAAGGGCAGTAATCCCATGCATGAGGGCTCCACACTTCCCAAAGGCTCTGCCTCCTAATACCATCATATTGGGAGTTGGAATTTCAACATAGGGATTTTTGGGGGACCCAGACATTCAATCCACAATAGTTTTGTATTCCCAGTACCCATCATGGTGGCTGTCCTATAATAGGTATCCTTTTTTTTTTTTTTTTGAGATGAAGTTTCACTCTTGTTGCCCAGGCTGGAGTGCAATGGCACAATCTCAGCTCACTGCAAACTCCACCTCCTGGGTTCAAGTGATTCTCCTGCTTCAGCCTCCCAAGTAGCTGGGATTACAGGCATGTGCCACCATGCCTGGCTAATTTTGTATTTTTAGTAAAGACAGCATTTCACCATTATGGCCAGGCTGATCTCGAACTCCTGACCTCAGGTGATCCACCCGTCTTGGCCTCCCAAAGTGCTAGGATTATAGGTATGAGCCATTGTGCCCAACCAATATTCATTACATATTTGTTCAACAAAGATTACATTTCATCAGATCCTCAGAAAAGTCTGGATTTCTTAAAATATTAAGAGTAACCTGAGGGTGGTCATTTTTTCCAAAGCACTGAAAGAGACTGGTTGCTGCATTTTTCCTTTTCTGTTTTAAAAACAATCCAGTCTATGATTATTCCTGTTTATTTTCATAACTGGAAAGAGTAGGACATAATTGGGAGAGTGGAGCAATTCATTCCCTTGTTACCATGGAGAGACAGCTGTGTCAGCCCTGTGATTAAAACACTCTTCAAGCAGCTAGAGGAGTTTGTCTTCTCGTGGGAGGACAGAAACACACACACGGAGATACTGTAATTTTCAGGTAGTGGGCAAATGCTGTGTAAGCTGCTTGGAGCAAGAAGAACTTCTTTGGGTTGCCTGGGAAGCTTAGGGAATGAGAAATGATTCTCTACCTGGCAGGGGAGGAGATCTTTTCTGAGAGAGAAAGAGTGACAGAGAGAGAGAGGAGAGAGAGTGAGGGGTCATCATGTACAAGAGTCATGGAGATGGAAATGTGCAAGGCGTCATCATCAGAATGGCAGGATGTCCACGGAGTTAGAGAGGCCAGGGTGTGCTGGAGAGATGATGTCTGGAGTTGAACCTCAAAAGAAAATTGGGGCCAGATTGTGAGGAGCTTCATACGTTATTATTTGGAGGTTGAGTTTTTCTTCTTTGGCCTCGGAAAATTAATGGATTTTTTTTTTCAAAAGGTGGACTATTGTGATGCTTTGTAAAAATGGCTCTCATGGTTTAGAAGGAACATTTTAGTATAGTCTTTAGGGTTAGGGTTTTGGAATCAAGAGGTGGGTACAAACCCTATCTCCTTCATCTGCCAGCTGTGTGATCCTGAACTGTGCTCTGATGCTCTTTGTGCCTGGGCTTGCTCATCTTCCCATTGAGATCGTGATACCCACTTTTCAGGTATGTTGCGAGGATTAAATGAGACTCACATTACTTGGCATCAAGTATTCCTGAAATCAATAGTAATAATATCTCTTTTCTGACTCTTGGACTTGAGAGTCCTTCAGGATTTTGAAACCATTTTAGTTGTAGTGACTTCTGTGGAGCCCTTTTGGAAACTACTAGAAGTTTCCTGGGACCAGCTTGCTTTTGGCACCCACAGTGGGAGGGGTCCATGACTGAGGGTAGGGTGTCATGCTTTGTTCACCTCACCGAACTTTAGTCATATAGTGACTTTATTGAAGATACTGCGGTAATGCAAAAACACTTACTTTTTAGGAGTTTTTATTTAGGAGTTAGAAATGGAGTCAATATATCTTCAAAAGCACTTTGGGACGTGTTTAACTCAAGGTCTTGCAGAAGTGGCAAAAGTTCACCCAGCGGATCCAATAGAATATTTGGCATTGTGGATTTACAAGTTTAAGGAAAATGTGACCATGGAACAACTGGTAAGTAGGAATCTCCTTCTAGGAAATTAGAAGCGAAAAATAACTGGTCCAACTTGTCTGCTTCTTAAAAAGTTTAATATTTTTATTTTTCTGTTATAAAAATAATGTTTATTATATGAAAACTCGAACAACATGAAAAGTAGGAAGGAGAAAACAGTACCCAAAGAAGCCTTCTATTTAGATTTTTAGGTAATTCCTTTCATGGGAAGTCTTTTTCTATAGATTTATAGATTTATGTTTATGTACTTGTGATAATACACAATGTGTGGCTGGGCGCGGTGGCTCACGCCTGTAATCCCAGCACTTTGGGAGGCCGAGGCGGGTGGATCACAAGGTCGAGAGATCGAGACCATCCTGGTCAACATGGTGAAACCCCGTCTCTACTAAAAATACAAAAAATTAGCTGGGCATGGTGGTGCGTGCCTGTGATCCCAGCTACTCGGGAGGCTGAGGCAGGAGAATTGCCTGAAACCAGGAGGTGGAGGTTGCAGTGAGCCAATCGCACCATTGCACTCCAGCCTGGGTAACAAGAGCGAAACTCCATCTCAAAAAAAAAAAAAAAAATACACAATGTGTAACTTTAATGTTGTGCTCATTATTCAGATAAAATATTTTCCCAAATTATTATTTAGTTTCAAAAGGGATGGGCTATAATTTGCTTAACCCTTTCCCTAATTGTCCCTATTAAGTGCTTTCAAGATTGCTTTTCTCTCTAAGAAGTCACGTGCTGTTGTTTTTAAACAATGCTAGAGACAAAAGGAAATGGCTGAGCTGGAGTGTGAAAGAGAATTAGCTCTGATGGAGCAGGAAATGATGGAGAGGCTCAAAGCAGAGGAGCTCTTATTTCAGCAGGTGAGGCAAGTAGGAGAGTTCAGAGGGGAGTGGAATTACGATGCCAACCTCAGCATGTCACAACCCAAATGCTGATAAACTTCCCAGCTCCAGTTACTTAAATATGGCTTCCTAATATCTTTATCTTTATGGATGTGTGTGTCTTCTTTGCTGGAGAAGTAGCAGCCCTGAGTTTTTCTGACTGTATTCATGTATACACACATACACATTCCTTTCCACACTGCTGTTGCTGATACAAAAGATGGCATACCTCCAGGTAAGAAGAGAATACAGAGAATGCACTGTCACAGAAGGCAAAGAGAAAGAGTGTTTTTGTGACATCTGAGTGGTCAACCATATCTATTGCTGAATGGGAAAGTGTTCATTACAGGCCACTGTAATTTGGCAGGAACAGTGTGAATGGAGTGGTTGGGGTGGGTGGAGTTAGGCAGGGGAGATGAAACATGTAGGCAATGCTTTCAAGGAGATTTTGAGAGCAAGGAGGGATGTTTTTGTGTTTGTTTTGATTTAAGAGCACAGTAGTGGAGTGAGTGGGTGACATTAGGAAATAGAGTGGATGATTCGTAGGGTCAGCTTGTCATGGAGATGAGAGGAAATGGGGCCTGGAACATAGATTAGGCAGGCAGAAGGCACTTCTTTGATTATAATTGAGGGAAAGAGGAGAGAATGGTGTTGGTGGAAGCATCTTCTATGTACAGCTGTTTCTATCTTCTTTATGAAGTAGGCACCGTGATCATCTGCTAAGAATGAGGTTGTAAGGTAGGAGGTGTGGACAGAGTGGTAAAGGTTAGAAATGGCAGCTTTGGAGAATGAGAGTTGAGGGATAAAATTTAGCAGTGGGCAGGCATGGTGGCTCATGCCTGTAATCCCAGCACTTTGGGAGGCTGAGAGGGATCACGAGGTCAGGAGTTCGAGACCAGCCTGACCAACATAGTGAAACCCATCTCTATTAAAAATACAAAATCCAAAATTAGGGTGTGGCAGCCCTCTCCTGTAGTCCCAGCTACTAGGGAAGCTGAGGCAGGAGGATTGCTTGAACTCGGGAGGTGGAGGTTGCAGTGAGCTGAGATTGCACCACTGCACTCCAGCCTGGCAACCAGACAAGACTTCAGCTCAAAAAACAAACAAAAAACCAAAAAGAAATTTGGCATTACTTGGTGGCAGTTGGAGACCAAGCACTGATAATCATGCCATTTGGTTTGATTATGTGATTATGTGATTCTTTTCATTTAGGCCCAGATGTCTGAGTGAAGAAGTGGAAGCAGGCAGACCTTTTGAGTGAAGCAGGATTGGGGTAGTGTGATTAGGGAGCTGAAGATATTGGTTAGGGAATTGCTGAAGGAACGGTTCGTGTAGTACAGGCTGGAGAGAGGAAAGTTCCAGAGTGGCTTATAGACTGATTTAATTTATAGAGAGCTTCTAAGTGAAATTTAAGCCACTTCTATAGTTCTACCAGATAATACTTAACTCCAGAGTCTTAACTCAAATTTACATATTTAAAAAGGGGAAAGAAGCCTATTGTTTGCGTATGTGGGTAAAAAGAAAAATACAGACTTGGCAAATAGCTTCTCTAACTTCCTATTCCTGATATTGAGGTAGAAAACTGCAGGCACCTTAGAAGGATAGGGCTGTTGAAAACTGTCCGGCATCTGAGTCTTCATTTTCAGTCATTTGGCTTATTCTTGAGGGGAGGTTAAAAAGTGTTGAGTTGGGTGTCAAACTGTCATCCAAACAGGCCAGGTGCTTCCTGCAGCAGCCACAGCTGTGGATGAGGAGCTATCCTTCCTCTTATACAGCTCCTATAACTGGTGTCTGTCCCTGTCTATCAAAATAAGAGAATTCCCAGCCGTTCTCCTTCCCTAAGGCAATTACATCAGAAGTGGGAGATACTTAACTCTCTTTGACTCACCTATTTTATCTGACTTATGTATAATTCAGTAACACTAGCAATAAAAACTTTCTCTAGCCATGTTATGTTGACCAGTATGAACTAATCCACTGTACATTGAACCCTAAGTATTGTATTAGAGTGGAAGATAAAATAATATTATGCAGGACATTTTATGGCCAGTTAAAGAAGTGGATTGGTTGCAGAAATAGGAAAGATCAGTCAACAGAGAAAGGCTTAGGAGAGAGTGTGGCTGAGATGAAGAAAAACAGAGAGGCCTCTTGGTGCCTTCTGAGTCACATGAGCTGGAGGTTGGGAACTCTGGTTATTTCCTTGCTGGTGGCAAAAGCAGTTGTCCTCATAGTCAGTACTGCCGACCTGAAATTCCTTGACGTTTTAGGTACTCTGTAACAAGCCTGGTTTTTTGTGAACAGGGAAGTATTTTTATTGTCATTTTCTGTGTAAGAGCTTATTTTTGGAGTAAGAGCTTTTTTGGTTTTTATTTGTTTTGAGTGGTTTTGCTCATGTGTGAAGAAAGGGATTAGATTTTGGAAGTTTCTTGAAAATGTCAAGAAGCTGGTTATTTTGATCAATCTGATTGTTATTTAGCAAGCACACTTTGCATTATTATTGAGAGACTGGAGTTATTTAACTTCCTCTACCAATGTCTGAAAGTTGATTGAAATTTTTTGTAGATTTCAGCTACCATCACTTTTATCTTAGTGGGGGTAATATAGGAATGCCAAGAAATTACCTTTAAAAGCCTTTTGTAAATAAAATATTAATCACATATATATCTTTATTTGTAAAAATGTATTATTTTAGAATGCATTGTCAGATAGTAGACATTTTATGCTTTGCAGGCCAAGAGGCAAATTTGAGGATATTAAGAAGGCATTATGGAATATTATGTAGGAATAACAAGAGAGAAAGTGAATTTCCACAAATGTTTTATTGATTATTATTTGAAGTTCAAATAATAATCATTGAATATAAATTTTTTGTTAAACAGCTTTACTATTGAGAATTTAAAAACTTTTTTGAAAGATAACATTTCACCTAGTTGGAGTTCAGAGTTAGTGTTCTCTATCATCAAAATCTATTTAAAATATTTATCTACTAATGTTGATATGTAATGAGGTTTTATGTATTTCATCCTTGAAAATGTCTTTTCACGTAGATACTGTCAAAAATTGGTATCAGTCTATGTGTGTGAAATTTAAATTCAGCGTATTCATTCCTTAGAAGGTATTTCTAGAATTCTGTTAGATTTTTTTCTTGCTGTTTGCCTTTAAGCATGCATTACTTGGTAGATTCGTTACTTCCAATTGAAGGTTGATGGAAGCTTCTTAATTGCATAGTTAAATGGATTTTGAAATATGGAAATTCCTTTGCATTGCACTGAAGCCTAACAAACACTCTGGAATTGTAGTTTGAGGCTGGAAAATAAATCCACTGCCACTTTGTGTGGAAACGGAGATCTAATATCTTGTTCTAGTTTTGACAGCACTGGAAGTGTATAAAGCAGCTTTGTATTACTTGTGATTCAAACAACGTGAGTTGTTGAAGTGAGTTTACTGCAGTGTAAGTTTTACATATGAGTGATGTTTTGCCTTATAGTTTTAGAATGAATTAAGAAACATTGTCAGGTCTGCAGCCAAAGCTAATTTCCAAGCCATTTAATGTTTCATAATGGTGGTTGAGAGTATTTCTTCTCATTAAGAAGAATTTAAATATTGTATACCAATAATAATTTATTCAAAAAAGAAACCAAGAAAACAATCTTAAATAACTTCAAAAAGAATAATATACTGAGGAGTAAATTTAACCAAGGAGGTCAAAGATCTGTACGCTGAAAACTGTAAAACACTAATGCAAAAAACTGAGGAAGACACAAATAAATAAAAAGATATCTTGTGTTCATATACCAGGAGAGTTACAGTTAGAATTGTTAAAATGTCTATATTACCTAAAGTAATCTGCAGATTCATCTCAGTCCCTATCAAAATTCCAATGACATTCTTCACAGAAATAGAAAAACCCAATTCCAAAATGTGTATGGAAGTACAAAAGACCGTGAAGAGCTAAAGCAATCTTAAGAAAGAAAAATGAAGTTGGAAGTATGAAATTACTTGACCCAAAATTATATTACAAAGCCATAGTAATTTCAACTATGGTATTGGCATAAAAACAGACACACAGACCAGTTGAACAGAATAGATAACCTGGGAATAAGCCTAAGTATACACAGTCAACTAATTTTTGACCAACCCTGCAAGAAAACACAAAGGAAAAAGGATAGTCTCTTCAATAAATGTGTCGGGACAACTGGATAACCACATGCAAAAGAATGAAACTGAATCCTTGTCTTCCACCACACACAAAAATCAGTTCAAAATAGATTAAAGACCTGAATGTAAGACTTGAAACCATAAAACTCCCAGAAGAAAACATAGTGTGGAAAAAGCTCCTTCACACTGGTCTTGGCAATGATTTTTTGGATATGACACCAAAAGCGCAGGCAATAAAAGCAAACCTAAACAAATGGGACTAGATCAAACCAAAATGTTCCTGCACAGCAAACAATCGGCAAAACAAAAAGACAGCCTATGGATTGGGAGAAAATATTTGTGAACCATATATCTGATAAGGAGTTAATCTCCAAAAAAATATAAGGAATGCAAACTCAATAGGAAAAAAAAAAAGTAACCCAGTTAAAAAATGGGCAAAGGACCTGAATAGACATGTCTCCAAAGAAGACATAAGACATAAAAGTGACCAACAGGTATACTAAAAATGACTAGTGATGCTCAACACAATTAGTTATCAGGAAAGCACAAATCAAAATCACTGTGAGATAGCACTTCACCCCATTTAGGATGGCCGGGTATATATATATTTTAAACAGTCTCTTTTACCCAGGCTGGAGTGAAATGGTTTGATCTTGGTTCACTGCAACTTCCGCTCTCTCCATTCAAGCAATTCTCCTGCCTCAGCCTTCTGAGTAGTTGGGAGTCCCTACTGGGGCACTGCCTAGTGGAGTTGTGAGAAGAGGGCCACCGTCCTCTTGACCCCAGAATGGTAGATTCACTGACAGCTTGCATCATGTGCC